TATTTTTTTCACCTTGCACCCAACAACGCTTTGCTTCTGACGGCATATTTCATATAGACAGTCAATTGTGGTTTTAAGTGCCTCCACATAGTACGTCCACTGTTTTGCCATTTCCAGATCTCCAACATCATTTTTCGACGATGAAGAGGGGAAATGAATGGATGATGAGGCACAAGATACCTCACAACCTTGTCCCCCATCATCTCCATATGACATTCTTAAATAATTCATTTTGAGACATTACTTTTGAAGAAGCAAAAGAATTCCAAGGAAGAGAGCCGACATCCAATAGCACAAGTCTAATTTCAAATTTTAAAGTATGAAGACGATTCGGATTTTAACAAGAAACCAAAAGAAAGCACAACTAATTCACATACTCAAACGTGTAGCTCAAAAAACTGAAAAGCTTTAAAGCATCAATAGTAGGAAAAATAAAGAACGTTTTTTCAACCAGTGAAGCATTACAAAAACAGTGTTTTTGCTCTTGAATGTTTTCCTCAACAAATTCAAATTATGAAATTTATACTCGACAAGGTTTCAAAAAAGCTTTTGAAAAATTCACTTATTTTTTAATCTTATCCGAACGCAGCAGCATTCGAACCAAATCAGATAAACAGAAAAGAAAAAAGAGAAAATTTGAGAACAATCATTCAATCTCTCAATCCTTTCTCGAATTTTAAATGTCGGTAAATTCTGGCTTTAAATTTTACAAAACAAAAGAAATTGATTCATACGGTTCAAAAGACCTGCTAAATTTGGTCGTATTTGCATATTAAAGCTTTACTAAGCTTCAGTAAAATTTAAGTAGCTTCTTACGACCCGTAAGACTGATTCTTTCTCACATCATTTCTATATTTATTTGCACGGTAAATTTTCAATTACATCTGAAGCAATTGCATGAACGATTATAAAAAAAAAAAAAAAAAAAAAAACAAGATTATTCGAATATCAAAGCATATTGTTGTTTGTATGAAACTTCGCATCATTGCGCTGTTCAAGCTATTGAACAATCACTTCATTCAAGTTAATATAACGATGAAAAGTGGGAAATAATTACGAAGTGTATTATCACGACACTTCGGCCGTTTTAAGCGAGTAAAGTTGAATGTTTATTTGATTTTAGAATATTCAACTGGGAAATTATTCTTTACACCTTACAATTTGAGAGACTACTGCAATGTTCAACAGACTTTTTATAGTTTCAAGCGAACCTGTTTTGTAGTTGCCCGCAATTCTACCATATCTTCAATATCCATAACCGTGGTAAAAAGTAAATTTCTCTACGAAATACGTACAAAAAATAAAAATATAGAAAATTTTCATTTCAGTAACCTGCCCTTCAGAAGTCTAAATTTACGAAAGAATCTCTCTATCCATTTCAATGTGAAGAATGACTTTTGGTCAATTTTTCTTCGTGATAAAAGCATTTAACGCAATCGAAAAGGACAAAAATTTCTAAAACCTTCGCAGAGTGAGAAAAACCGGTTCTGAAAATTCTCAGAAAATAAAAATAATATTTTTGAACCTCGTTTAATTTAAAAATTCGCACTGCATAACTCAGAAAAAAAGGAACTTTCCCATGCCATACTTTTGCGCTTATAAACCCGAACTCAAATATGCATCAACTTAAGAAAATTTTTAATATCAACTCTCAAATTTGGACTACCTTATACATACAGAAAAACTATCTATAATAAAACTCTTTTGGTTGAAACAATTCAAAATTAGCCGAAAATGAAACTAAATAAGTCCTGTAATCCGTAAAAAAAAATTCATGGCGCTTCAACATCAAAAAATTAAACTGAAATTCTTCTCAGTGATACGGTAATAAATATATTCACCACTCTGTCTTCGGACAAGCTGTAATCTGATATAAAGTACAATATATAATACTACTTTTGTTCTAAAACAAAAACGAAGATCATCAAATTTCACGTTGAAGTACCGTTCAACGCGATAGTTGGTTGTAATTGAAAAAAGACTATGAAGTATTAGAATACTTCCCAAGAGTATCCAGCAGCAGCTGGATGTAGCCAGATTTGCAACTGGAAAACTCATATCTTCCCAGGATCCTTTAGGAATCTTACTCCCTGGGTCTTTATAATTCTCCACTGAAACTTCCGGCAACCTTTCTATAAAATTCGTCGACAAAAAATGCCTAAGACGATAACAGTCCAATTAAAATTAGACAATGCTAAGAATGATGAAACTGAGTGAAAAACTTGCTCATATTTAAGGGATTTACAAAAAAAAAGAGTTCCTACTTTACAAGAAAATTTTATGAGACTTTAAACGGTTTCAAGAGCAATATAGGTGTCTGTTCGATGGCTTTTTATAAGGAGATCAAAGAACGAAATATCAACGTTTCATAAAGCACTATATAAATAATACGCCTAATATGCAACGGGTTATAACAAATCTAACTAACAGTTAGCCCTGTTTGGTGTTTAATCCTACAATTAAATCAACAACCCGGCTGAAGCAGAAGAATGTTTCACGGGTAAGCATTAGTCACATCCACTAAACAACAGTGAAAGAATGGATAAATAAAAAAAGGCAAATAAATAAACAAAAATCCTACTGCATGTTTTCTCAATAAAACTTATGTGTAGGTATGTCTACACTTGTAGACGGCAAGAAAATAAAAGAGAGAAAAGATGGCAAACAAAACGGGACTACTCTACGAATGCAAGTAACAGAAAAACTGATATTCACAGAAGTGGAAAAAACGATCTGCCTTGCGGTGAGTGGAAGATGCTTCAAGTAT